ACATTTCGAACTGAGGTTAACTTAAATCAATGACAATAAATACCACGTCCAATTGTGAATATATATAATTATGAAAAGAAATGAGACACACCATTTATATGAACTAATCGAATTAATCACACAAAATTTACAGTTTTTACAAAAGCATGTACAGTACAGCGCTGAGGCTGCGCACAAAAATGGACAATTTTGGAAGAGGAGATACGTATTACTCGATCCTCGCAGCTCGTTTTTATAATTGTTGGCAATCGGTAACTATAAAAACGCGAGCTATACAATACGAGAATAATCGTATCTCCTCTTCCCAAATTGGCCATTTTTTGTGTGCAATCTCAGCGCGAATTAGGACAAAATTACTGTATTATATTACGACAACAATGCATAGTAAGGAATGATAAAATTTGAATTATAAGAAATAATCCTAGAATTGACCCACCGTATACCATTAACTCATTGCTCGTTCGCATCTTTTTTTCTCGAGAACAACGGATAGTCACAGGTCACATTACTTTGCCGTATTTATGCATTTGTTTAGTGCACTCACGCCACGACGCGCGGTGAACGACATTGTTCAATCAAAACGCAACAACGAAGTTCTTTTTCGTTTTCTCTGTCCCTGCATTTTGCTTTTCAGTGGGATCTGTTGCGTGTGTGGTCCGCTTACGGAGACGGCACGCAACTTCATGTAGTCGGTCAATGTATTATGCATTGAACGTGAAAATGCGGCATGTGACACGCACCGCGATAAATGGCTGTTTACTTGTGTTTGCGTGCGTGAGACGTGACAAAGGCGGCACGTTTAATGAAGACGATCATTAAACTATTAACCTTCTGCGGTGCGAGTTTTTTTCTAAAATGGGAATGAAAAATTTACATATCGTGATTCATCTCTATGTATTTATTAATCCCTTCCGCTGTGTTAACGCGAGTCAGACTCGTGGCGAAGATTTCATGCATAATCTGCTGAACGAGTGGGTTAAGATCATAGTGGCGTAAATCACATTTTTTCCTCGTTCCAAGGAAGATGGAGCGTTATCGTTTACTAACGCATCGTTTACGAAACCAAATTTATTGTTGAGCTAATTGTTATGATTATTGTTAAGATAATTTAAAGTTAATACTTGTCAGATGGGCCAAATTTAATTTCGTGCAAATTTAATTTGTTGAACGTAAATTTACGTTTTTCCATTTTGATTTTTTGCTTGAATTTTTATTAATACTTTATTAATATTTTATTGATATTTGTTAATACTAGGCACGTAAATAAGCAGCTTTATGAAATTTTATCAAAAATAGTGTTGATTTAATAAAGCTGCAACGCTTTAAAACACTATACGTATATGTTTATTTAATTTTTTTTCAAAATGCACGGGAATCGAGGAAGACAGAGAAAAAGCTCCCCGTCAGTTAAGTGTTAAGTTAATAGGTGGATGATTTTATGATAATTTTATTATCCTGGTGAACCGTATATTTTTACAATTAATTTATTTATTCAATTATAATATTTAGTCAGTCATTTTATTCAAAATATATCAATTCTATTTCAATTGTATTTATAAATAAGAAATAAATTTTATTACTATCAGTAATCTCTTTAGATCTATATAAATAATCATTATTTTTGTCTTTCATTTGAACTTCCAAATAACAAATAACTTTTTATTTAAACAATCTTTCAAATGAACATTTATTTAAATGACGCCCGTCGCTGATCCGCGGTCTAATTACAACGGCATTTTGTCGATAAATTTACATAACATCTACGAAATATTTATCTATAATTCTTCTCTATGGAGTGAAATAAAACAGAAATTTTAAAACAATTTTCTATTTATCGTTCAAAATTTCATTTCGACCTGTATCCGTTTAGAGAAAGTTTCCAGCACCGCGTAAGCGTTCCAGCAGCAGAGTTGCAAATATTACGCGTGCTTGTTAAATAAATATTGTGCAACGTTGTCAAAAAACAATTAGACAAAAACGGTCTTCGACAGCTCGTTACTTTCAACGATATGTCAACCGTATCGCCGAACGAATCTAGAGCAGAGAATCATTTTTCAAAAATCGTACGGTCACGGATTCAATTAATCCACATGAATAATGATCGCCCCGCGTCCAGATTGACAATTTTATTTAAATGACCGCCAGATGTTTTCCTCAGCACCGGATAAAGAGCGCGGCGACTGTTTTTAATCGTGTCGAATTTACAAGCGATCGCCGATGCTTGATTCATTGGCCATTAAACGGCCAGGGCTGTTCAGTTAAAAAGTCGTCACACTTTTTTCTGAAATTTCCCCGGAACATCCAGCCAGCCGGACGTTTCTCCAGTTTTATATAAGAAACGACGTCGATGCGTGGCACAGAAGTCTCCGCTGCGAGCGGGCCACTCTTTTATTACGGGGTCCGCTTTTGATCGATCGATAATGAGAATCGGCGTGAGTATCGCACGCATATATCGACCGTACCGAAAACCATTAAAGCGCAGGAGATATTTTAATTGACCGGTTTACGCGTTATCCGTCTCAATGCCCGGGACTTCCTTATAACTTGAAATCGAGCCCGTCCAGATATGCGCTTCGCTTCGATCATTTTCATCGGAAATTGCTCCATTATAAATCCTTGGCCAACAATATTTTCAGAGTTCGAAGCGTTTCCTGCGTTTTTGATTAGCTTCCTGATTTGTTAAACTCTACTCGAGAACGAGCGTGTTCCGTTAACACGTTCCGTGCCACGTGTACCATCGATGGTACACGCTTGCATGTTTACTTAGTGAACTGAACAAATTGTTTACAAAAAATTTAGAACCGAAGAATCAATTTCCACCGCAAGAATGGGCGTTGATAAGTTTTTGTTACGTTGTTATGTGTACGAGAATTAATAATTGCACGTAATACATCAAGTTTTAGTAAAATATCAAAGTGTGAAGATTCGAGTAAAAAAAGCTCGGCACGGAACGTGTTAACAACTGTGGTTGGAGAATTTATTTGCCACGATTCGGCGGATATATTAAAAGAGTACGCTAAATCGTGATTCGGAGCATCGGACGAAAGTTTATCGCATTTCTATGCAGAGGAAATGTGGATTAAATGTAATTCAGCGACAAATAGACTGCGGATTGCATGCATTTATGATAAAAATGATTGGGAAAAATGGCAGATGCAAACGTATTGGAAAAATTTCCATGACGTTATCTTCTCTTCGGTTTATTAAAATTATTAAACAAGGAGACACATTTTTACTTTCGTTTTAGGCTTTCTACAATCGAGTTAGGAGTTTTTATTTTGCATAGAGAGTCTGGTGATAAATAATAGTATAGGGGATGTGAGTCATGCAACAACTATTTCATTTTAATATTTCTCGTAAATCGTATGTTGTGCAAAAGAATGTTTCGAACGAAAGTTATTCTCGGTATAAAGAGTCGCGAACACGACAACAATGAATTTTTTGCTATTCTCTTTTTTCCTTGCGATTATGGACCACGAAAACAAAAATTTCGATCACATATAATTATTATTTCTCTTTAGCAATATTTGAATCGAAATAATCATTATGATGACCTCTTTCATATTAATTGTAACTGGACTGCTGATTTTATGAATTTTTTTGTTCTTAACCAACATTTTATCTTTTATGTATTATTTAACTCGGTGTCTTAACTTTGAAAACATTTATTCTAAGGGAGTATACCGCCATCTAGGTTTATAAATATACATAAATTTAACAATTTTTTTAAAACTTTGAGAAATTCATCGACGAACTTTGAAAACATTGTTAGTATGCTTTTATTATTCGACGAAACGATAGGAATAAACAGAATAAAAAATTCTTACATCCACTGGTAACAAAACATACCTTCTTTGAAGTAACGTTTAATTTTTGAAAAATTCAAGAATAGCAGAAACGACAATGATGAAAAGTAACAATTTCTGGTTTTCTAACTAAAAAAATTCAACATTGAAATATTATAAGAGTTCAACGTTGAAAAGTTATGAAAACTCAATGAGTTGACTCATTGAAAAATCGTATGCTACTCAGCAGATCATTTTATAAGAAATAAGTTTATAACATTTACGATTAAATGCATGAATAATAAATATATATATATATATATATATATATATATATATATATAAATAATAATAATAATAATAATATAATATATAATATAATAATATAATATAAATAATATATAAATAATAAATATATATTTATATATATATATATATTATATATAAATAATTTTCCTAAATTTCGCATTAACGTGCTGCATAGAACCAAAATTTGAAAAGTTTTAGTCCGCAATTTTTGGGGACTAAAAAGAAACGCTTTCATGAAAACAAACGATTAGATTTAGAGTTAAGCCCTAATCGACACAGTAACAAAATTGTATTAGCGACAAGAAGATAGGTGAAACGTCTCTCATTTGGAAGCAATAATTTTCAAGATCGCTTTGACATACTGAAATTTGGAGAAATAATTGTAAAATACAAAACTGTGAAAAAAATTCGAGCGTCTTTCTAACGTGAGCAACTTGTTAAAATGACTAAAAGAGAGAACAGATATTTTTATCGGGCTTAAGTTTCTTATAATTAGCTCGGATAATTTTTATTTTGCATAAAAATCCACGGTTCAATTAAAACGTTTATGGCGCCCGGCTGAAAAATCATTTCTGAGAGGATGACTTCATTTATATCGACGCGTACAGCTCGATAAAGAACTAATTGGATTTTACAGAATGCTATAAAACAGTGATAAAGTCATAAGAATGATAATATTCGCTTCAATTATTGATGCACATCGAAATTAAGCGAAATTTCACCTGCAGTTCCGAAACGTTCTCTCCGTTAACTCCGCAAATCGAAAAATTCGATTAATCCTAGGAGAAAACGTCTGCTGCGCGCGGTCGCCTGTAATAAACAAGAGCGCAATCCATCCACGCGCACTCCCATACAGTTATGTAAAAATTATCCAAAATCATCGTTTTTAATTGCTACACGCTTAATTGTCGGATGAATGGGCCCCCATTTGCATTAATCGAGTTTTTATTTCCAAATAAAGTGCGGCGCGTTCAATCGATTGAATAATACAGGATGACGTTCTGGTTTTTTTTTTGTTGCAGATATTTATAATTCCGTCCATAGAATGCTGACAGCTGCTGTTTATATAATTTGAATAGGTACGTATGGAAAAATTTCGCGGCGAAAAATCGGCCGTGCAGGCCGCCGCGCGACGACGCGTCTCCGTGAAAGCCCTGGAAATATTAAAATGTTATAAACGATTTGGCCGGCGCGATTCACGCGGAAGATAAACTTTCTCGTCTGGATACAGCTTATTAACCGGCGGTGTTAAAACGCGGCCGACGGCGACGCATCGGTGACCGTTTTTACTGGCCCCGCCGTCGTTCAAAGGAAATTGTAACCATGTCTGCGTCTACCATACCTTGAAAGTGGACCGTTTAATACGACCCGCATACGACTTTGTACGTCTTATAATAGCGATAAAAACAAATGAGATTTCGTAGGCAATTGTGCGCGGTTCGGCGTTATCTTATTAAAATCGCGTGCAACACAGTTCTGTGTTCGGGCAAATTATACGGTACCGTAATGCCCTCGGATTTTTCGCTTTTCGAGCCCGCGGAATTCCTTTACGCATCTAGAAAACTTGATCCGGCAGTAGGGATGGGATCGAGTTCGATACGATGCTCGCGAATCCGAGTCAATTTCAATGAACAGTTTCGTTTCGCGAATGTGTGCGTTGCTTTGTAAGAACGACGAGACTGAATTTGCTTAGACTTTCCACGATTTTGATCACAACGAGTACGTTGATCAAGAAGTTTGTTCGATCATTTCGCGTGAAAGAGTCTTTGCAATTTCAGCAATATCAAAATACAGAATGCGAAATCGGTCATTTCGACCGCCTCGGTAGGTTCAAGGTTGATCAAATAGAAAATTGTGTTAATCACAAAGGAAGAGTTAACGATTTTGAACAGTTTTGAAAGCGAAAGGAAAAAAATCGATCGCTGTGACCGACACGGTAGGTTTGGTATTAAGAAAAATGCGTTAACCCTTCTACGGTGTCCGTAAAAAGTTAAATTGAAAGACCGGAACCGTAAAAAGTAAGTGCATATCTTCGAAAACTGCATTGTGTAAATATGTGCAATATGATTTTTTTAAGGTTATTAAATGAAAGAATATAACTATTTTAATGTAAATATACAAGAGAAAGTAAACATCTATTAACTAAATAAATGATAAAAACGATATTACAGATTTTTCACTCGAAACTTCGTCTCTTGTAGATCATATTTTCTTTTCGCAGATAAAATGAGCCCTTTTCGCAGGTCTTATCCACGTTTTCGCGAGTAAAATTCACATTTTCGCAAATGAAATTCAGCCTTTAGCGAATTAGATTCACTTATTCGTCAATTTTTCTAATAAAATACATATAAAATTCAAAAACCGTATGACACTTTGCGAATAATTATCACAAAGATTAATGAATATTAATTAATTGTAATGAAATTTGTACCGTTGCTATGCGAGAAGGTTAATTTAATTTGCGAAAGAGGTTCGTTCGATTTGCAAAAAGGTAAATATGATCTAAAAAAAAAATGTCAACACGATATGTAAAAAGATTAAATCTGAGCGGAAAATCTGTACAATCCTGACAAACGGTCTTGGTCGTACAGACCGGAAACACCGTGGAAGGGTTATGTAATTATGAATCATGCCCGAGAAGATCGTGAGAAACGTTCGTGTTCGAGGATCAACGATAATCCGAATGTCCAGCAGAAGTTGTCGCCTGTCGCACGATTATCGATATGTTGCGGCCGCGTAAGCGTAAGTGACATTTATAGGTTGAAACGGGGGTTGAGAAAAAAGTGAGGAAGCCACCGTAAATAGCGTCGCGACGAACCCGCTCGTGGCACAGATACAATAAGAGTGACACGCATGTTACGGTAGATGTTACAGATTGATCGGAATGGACGTAATCGCCTACAACCACCACGAGATCGCGAGCATCGGTAATAGCATCGACGGAGGTGACGTCGATGCCCAGTACGAGGACGAAGTGGAGGACATACTGCCATATATCGAGATCGACCGAGCTCACCTAACGATCACCGACCACCAGCTTACAGCTGCCAATTGTGACAAGAGCCCGTTCAGAAGGAGCCTATTCCCGCACGTGCCGCCGTTCATCCAATTCCAGTCGTTCGACTATAAGGGACCAACAGCGCCATACGAAGTAACGAGACACCTGAGGTGGCGTCTGAGCACGATCACACCATTAATCGTACGTCGTACCTTGGTGAACTCAGGTTTTCGACTGACCAAGAAGTCGCAGAAATGGTGCGGCACGTGGGGCAAGCACATGAAGTCGGTCTGCTTCAAGACGCTGAAGGAATCGCAGAAGATCAATCATTTCCCGGGCACGTTCCAGATCGGCCGCAAGGACCGCCTATGGCGGAACCTAAGCTGGATGATGATGAAGCACGGGATCAGGGAGTTCGGTTTCGTCCCAAGGACCTTCGTACTACCTCAGGACCTCAACTGCTTCCGGCAAGTCTGGAAGAAGCTCGGGGGCCAGAAAGAGAAGTGGATCGTGAAGCCGCCGGCCTCTGCCAGGGGCACAGGGATCAAGGTGGTGCACCGCTGGTCCCAGATACCAAAGAAACGGGCCGTGGTCGTGCAACAGTATTTGTCCAGACCAAAGCTGATCAGCGGCGCGAAGTTCGATCTGCGCCTCTACGTTCTCGTGACGAGCTTCAATCCGTTGAGGATATACCTCTATCCGGACGGCCTGGTCCGGTTCGCCTCTGTCAAGTATAACGACGACATAAACTACCTCAGCGACCGCTTTATGCACTTGACCAATTACAGTATCAATAAGACCAGCGCTACCTACACCAGCAACGACTGCGTCGACTCCTGTTCCGGGCACAAGTGGACGCTCAGGACGCTCTGGTCTTATCTCGAGAAGGAGCACGTCAACGTACCGAAGCTGTGGGAGTCGATGAAAGACATCGTGGTCAAGACGATGATATCCGTCGAGTCGCCGATCACCACCCTGACGAGGACCAACACGACGTCCAGATACTGTTGCTACGAGCTGTTCGGTTTCGACATACTCCTGGACGAGAATCTGACACCCTGGCTGCTGGAAGTGAACATCTCGCCGTCCCTGCAATCCTCGTCGCCCCTCGACATGGCCGTGAAAGGGCCGCTGATCAAGAACGTGTTCAACATTGTCGGGTATCATCTGCCGAATAATCTGTCGCCGGAGGACGTCGAGAAGATCGCGCAGAAGTACCAGTTCGACGTTGTGTGCCAGGACTTTCGGCTGCACAGGCCGACCATCAGTTTTCAGGAGAGAACGAAGCAATCGATGTACGCGAACTTGAGGAACAGGGACGACTACGTCGACGATATCATAGATATTCTAACGCCGGACGATGTCAGACATCTGATCGCGTACGAGGATGAGCTCACGCAGCTGGACAAGTTCGAGAAAATATTCCCGACGGTCGACAGCCACGAGTACCTGCAGTATTTTGATGTTCCGAGGTATTACAATATGCTGTTCGACGCGTGGGAATCAAAGTATAGTGACAACCGCGAGAAAGGAGTAACGAGATTACAGAAACTTTGCGAGACAAAGTATCATTTGGCGCAGCAAGTATGATCGTGACTTTGAATTAGGGGCATCGATTCCTCTGCCGTTGGCGTCTTCCACGTTCACCGGCGAACACTGTAAATCCTTCACTTTCTTTTTTTTTTTATATAAGCTATACAACGTCTTGTTATAATGCGAGTTACTACTATAGTACCGACCGTAACATGTTACGATACGACCGCATCATGTGCCTTTTTCCACGGTTGTGCAAATTTATTTTGATGTATTAAATCTCTATACTAATAAATCATTTTACAATGAAACGATGCGTCGACAGATTTTTTTCGTTTTTTTTCGCTGGGTCTTCGGGTCGTCGTAGAGACAAAGACATTTCGTTCTACGCAAGAATATGTATAAAAACAGCGCATAGAGCATACACACCAGGTTTGTATGATTTCTTTTTTGATAAAAATTTAGTCGATAAGAAGGAAGAACATTTCTTTCCGAATTAAATGTTGAATACCGTCGGAGAATCAGAATTAGATGTAAAGAAATTGCCATATATAAGTATCGTTCTCGCAAAGAGCAATAACTTTTACTGTTACTGTTAAATAATACATACTTAGAAATTACAGAAACTACAATTATTATTATATATTAAGGTTTAAGGAGCTTTCACGTAAATAATGTTAATTATACGGATACGATTAATTGCATTCCATGTTGAACGAAATTTTTTTAGTTCCTCGGAAAGGTAATACATGATGTATAAGGTAATATGTGTTGTTTTAAATAATTAGGTTACACGCCGATTTATTGACTCGATAAATTTTCGCAAATGTGCTTACATTTGTTTCTTACTATTTTTACGATTCGCATTGAGTGCTAAAATGTAACGGTTTACATCGAACTTATTTACTTTTGTTTAAGGCTTCGATTGTGAAATCGACATTTACAGAAAGTAACTGATAAAAAGAAATTGGAAGATCAATTAATAAACGTTTCTTAAGCAACACTTTATCTCTTATGTACTATTTAACTCAGTGTGTCTTAACTTTGAAAACATTTATTCAAGAGAGTACACCACCGTCTAGTTTGATAAATATACACAAATTTAACAATTTTTTAAAACTTTGAGAAATTCATCGACGAACTTTGAAAACATTGTTAGTATGCTATTATTATTATTCGACGAAACAATAGGAATAAAAAGAATAAAAAATTCTTACATTCACTAAATCCACGGTATAAAAAGGAACGCGTGTATAAAAGTAAATCATTAGTTTTAGTTAAGCCATTTGGCAAAGTAGATTTATTTAACACAGTCTAAAAACAACTCCCTTTCAAAAGTAGTAATTTTCCATATGTGGCGTTGATATACTCGAATTTGAAAAAATCCTTCTATTACACAGTTAGTTTTAAGGTATGAAAGTTCACATTGAATCCGACCAGGTGGTGTACACTCTCAAAGAATTTTCCCAAACAACATATGCCACGAATGCATAAAAATCCTTCGTTAGCTTGTAAGCCTAAACTATAATTGTTAAAAATGCGTTCGCAGCTTCAAGAGTGTAAATCAAAAGACTCGCATGAAACTTGTTTTATAGTAACCTACAAGAACGCGTTACATTTAACCCTCGTACTGCGGTTGCCGGGTCAGTTTGACCCAACGTATTTAAATCATCGCTTAGTTACGCAACTCTCGAAAATTAAATGAAATAAGCTGTTATTAAACTAGGACCCCCCAAAAAAACTAATAGGTCTACAAAAAATGTTTTCGAAAATATGTATGCAAACGGGTGCGTTTGAAAAGAAAATTTACGAAATGATAAAAATTATACCTCCTGGAGATTTAATTTCTAAATCGATTTTTGCGACAGCAAAACCTCAACTGATCAAATTTTTTTCTTTATTTTCGATTCGTCTTTTTATGTAAAATCACCCCCTTCTCGGCTGTGAAATTTTGGAACATTGATACTTTTAAATTTCCAAGCTTTCCAATATATTTTGAAAAATTGGCGACTAAAGCTGCGAATGGTCACAAATAGATCGCGGATTGTGATGCAAAATAAAAATAGCCCCGCCAATTTGAAAGCACCAGAAGCTACGTGAAAATATCGCAATTTTTTGCAACAATTTCGATAAATTTATACATCGACACCCTAAGTCCTATTCATTTCTTCACCGTTTCAAATTATATCTAACCATGTTTCTTCTAAGTGTATAAAATCCATTATCTACACGCAAACATCGTCAATTATATACTCATGAAAACCGTCCGTAGTCCGAGGGTTAAAACACCGGATTAAAAAGCTAGATTAATCGATAATTGTAACATGGCAAGCGAACTCGACAACTTCCGGGTACAACGCTGCTCGAGAGATGAACCGCACATTTCAACCCGCTTTGAATCCCACCACCCGTCAACAGTTAACCTACCACTATCTTTCGGCCAAACCCTTCAAATTCCCGTTAACCCATCCAAAAATCAATCACCGATCAAGCCAACGCCGCCGCAGCACGCAAGAAGCTACCAACGAACATGAAAATTCAGTCGAGCGAAAATGGAACGTGTACTACTTTCGGTAAACTGGCAGCGAACGATTCCTTCGAGGACGACGAAATCTACGCGTACACCGAGATCACGGAACAGCTGATAGCATCTGTGTCGGAGTTGTGGGTAGCACCCCGTCGAACCGTATCGAGGAACCAGAAGCTACCGATGCGGAAGAGCCTGTTCGCTCACGTGCCGCCGTTCATCATCTTCCGCGACAACGCGAACACCGACAAACTGCCGCCAGTGATCACGAGACACCTGCTCTGGTGGCAAGCAAATCGGCATTTTCCGCAGGTGATTTCCTCGACGATCGCGAAGTCCGGTTTCCGGACGACGACGAAGCGCGCGTCGAACTGGTGCGGGACCTGGTGCAGCAACCAGGAGCTCTCCTCCAAGCTGCAGCGCACCCAGTTGTTCTCCAAAGTGAATCTGTTCCCGAGCAGCGTGCAATTCGGCGACAAGATGCTGCTCTGGAAGAATTTCCAGAGGATGAGGAGGAAGCACGGCGGCAGACGTTTCAACTTCATGCCGTTGACGTTCGTCCTGCCGGACGAGAAGACCGACTTCCAGAGATACGCGAGGAAGCATCCCGGCATCTGGATCCTGAAGCCGCCGTGCTCCTGCGCGGGCAGCGGCATCAAGTTGGTGTCCCGACCGCAGGAAGTGCCGAACGATCGGTTGCTGGTCGCTCAGCGCTACATCACCGAGCCCCGGCTGATCGACGGCATCAAGTTCGACATACGAGTGTACGTGCTGTTGACCAGCGTCGATCCCCTCCGAATCTACGTCTACAACGACGGCTTGGTGAGGCTCGCGACCGTGAAGTACGTGAACCACGTGAGCACCTTGTCCAACAAGTTCATGCACCTGACGAACACCAGCGTGAACAAGTGCAGCCCGGACTTCGTGGCGAACGACGACCCGTCGAAATGCAAAGGGAACATGTGGTCGTTGAGCTGCCTCTGGAGTTATCTGTCGACGGTGGAGGGTGCGAATCCGATCGATATCTGGACGAAGATCAAGGACATCGCCGTGAAGACCGTCATCTCCACCGAACCGTTCCTGGTGAATGCCTGGAAGAAGAACTCGGTCTCTTCGTACAACTATTACCAGCTGTTCGGGTTCGATGTTCTTCTAGACCAGCAGTATCATCCGTGGCTTCTCGAAGTCAACACGTTCCCGTCCATGAAGCCCGACACGCCTTTGTGCAGGATCGTCAAGTGCCAGTTGACCAAGGACTACCTGAACCTGGTCGGCTTCCACGTGCCGAACGTGCTGACCGGCAAGGAGCTGAGGATCCTGAGGACCAGCTACAAGGAGGACGCCGTCTGCTACAACCAGCAGATGTACTCCAGGGCGTTGACGTGGACGGACAGGAAGAAACAGTACGCTTTCGCGAAGATGAACAATCGAGGGAAGTACTTGAAGTCGATCCTGAAGAAGCTCACGCCCGGTGACGTCAGGGTGCTGATACGGCACGAGGACGAAATCGCGCGGACCGGCCGCTTCGAGACCATCTTCCCCACGTGCCACACGCACGCGTATCTCGAGCTCTTCGACGAGCTCGGGTATTACAATATGCTCCTGGACGCTTGGGAACACGAGCACGGCGGCGATCGGTCCAGAGGCATCGAAAGGCTGAGGCAACTCTGCAGGAAAAAGTATCACTTGACGATCGATTGACGACGGTCCTCTGTCAATAAGTTAGACGGTGACGTTGGAATTGACAGGTGAACTTGGCGTAAACGCGTTTTATGACTACGCTACGGATTTTGTGCGTTTAGAGGAAAATTGAATAGTTGCGATTAAAAGTAGTAGAAACATTAGAAGAATTGAGAAGTCTCAGTGTACAATTTTCACTCCACTGAAATTATTAAAGAAGAAAAGCTCGTTCTATTCACCTTCTATTTCTTATGGTTGATTGCAGGCAATTTTTATTTTGCATAAAAATCCGCAGTTTAGTTGTGACTAGAGTATGCTTAATAATCGGACGGCGGTGCTCGGGTCCTTTTGGACCCAGACCGTAAATATTATATAATAAAACAAAATCGTCTCTCTCTCTTTCTCAAATAAAATTACAAAATAAAATCATAAAAAAATACGAAATAAAATTATAAAACAAAATTATAAAATAAAATTATAAAATAAAAATACAAAATAAAATTATGTAATAAAATTACAAAATAAATTTATATATGATTCTAAAGATACTCGGTTCCATTTTTGTAAACAATATCCGCCGTTCAAGTATTAAGTATAATAGTACATCGTTAGGTCGTATCGCATGAAATGTTGGATTCCTTACCAGCCGCAAATTGATTGTTCAAGTTACATCTTTAAGAGCTAGATCTTGTTTATTTTTCGATAGCATATTTGATCGATGAAACGATTATTTGAAAAAAAAAAGATATTTTTCCTTCTCTTTGAATGATTCAACATCTCGTATTACAATGATTATTGCTCTTTCTCCTTCGTCGGTCTTCATTATTTTGCAATCAACATGAAATTATTGAATCGTGTAACTGTTTTTCGCGTTTGGGACACACGTTATTACCGACTGTATCAAACTTTATCAGTTCACCGAAAATATCAAGAGAAGTAACATCAGTTGCGCATGACACGTGTGGAAGCATCATTATTGCGAGTTCTAACCAAAGCTGTAAACTATTTTTTGAAATGTCCAAATATTAGAATTCGAATAGATAAGATAAACTTTGTATATAACGTTCGCTCGATCTAGTTTTACACTTCCGTTTATTAATAATTTACGCACATGTATGTAATTATACGAAACAAGGTCGAAATTATTATTATCATAGACTGCGGATCTTTGTGCAAATAAAATCTGTCTTCAGTAATTGCAAGATGCAAGAACTGCATAGACACTTATTACTTGTATTAATGACTTTAATGAGTTGAGAGACAGTGACACAATAAGATTTTCGAATTGCTTAATGATACTGCTATTTCGCATTCGATCTACTTACTCATTGCTGTCATAAATGCATGAAATCCGCAGTTTAATTACGGGAGGCTAACAGTGAATTATCATCATCATTACTATTAATGATGAAACATTTGCTTTGCATTCGGCCAATTATGTATCTTGATGGTACTTACAAAAGATACGAAGTGGATCAATGTGTTACAGAATCGTTACATTTACAATAGCTTTATTTTTCAATAATTTTTCTTCTATAATCGTTATAGATAATAATTAATTAGCAGCAAAGCGAAAAGATACGAGCTGAAGTTTATTTATAGAACGAACATAGGATTGAAATTGTAACAGATAATACTACGACATAAAATAGATATCAAATGATCAATAAGAAATACTCTACATTGTTGAAAACAAATTGTTTTATTAATATGTTAATAATAATGTTTTATTATTGCATCTCGTTCGTGTTGCTGCGAAAATATTCATAGCTATGCAATAACTAATAATAGCAGTACTATTCCAATTTAGATTAGAAGAAAGCAAACAATCGAAAAAGAAAGCAAAGAAAAATTAATTACTAAACATTACCAATTTTCTTTGCGGGTAGAACTTGCGAGGAGTTAATCAATACATATTTAAATGCTTTAGCATAAGTATTTGACTCTTAATCTCTGAATCGATGAAAGTTATAATACCTTGTAATGTGATCTTTGTGTAAGCATTTAAACTCGATTAACGAAAAAACGAATTATAAAGAGCAAGGTATAAATGTTCATGATACGTGTTCATATTATGTAGATATACATAAAATTTTGGCATAAATAATTCGCTCTAAGTACGTATTTTATGAAGCAGCACTTTAGTCGGCAGAAATTAAATCATCGACACTGCGATTATGGTCAAAATGTTAACTATTCCTACGGATTAAAAGTGCTACGATATCTATATTCATGTTGCGATATTAATATTCTACTTTTATTATAGCGTGTAAGTCTGACAAATATCAAAATAGATTATATCGAATCGATTCGTGCACGTTTAACGAACGCTTTAGTACATGCATTCCTATTTATAAATGTTGTCATAGCTAAACTGGATTTGTAAAACAAATGTGGCGTTTATGTACCACCGTGTTGCTAGTTTTCTTTTTTTCTAACACGCAACTATACGTTCAAGTGACACCAGAACACGTGCCATTTGCTGACACTGCGATGTGACTGAGTAATTTTCAAGACGAAAATATCATGATTTCTTGCACGATGCCAGTGAATGTTGCGGTTTACTGTGAAAGAAATATCTTCCTTAACTATAGAATGCATCTACACCATGAGTTCTTTCTAATTGTAGCAAAGTTAGCGATAACTTGGACTGCGGATCTTTTTGCCAGTTTTGTCGATTGTTTTGTAAAAATTAGGATAAGGATAAAATTTATTTTGCTGTCTAAGTGATTCCTTACGATCGGACTACGGATGTTTATTTAAAATGAAAATGTCCTGCTTTCATTACAAAAAATGTCTCTTTTTTTTTTAATCATTTTCAGTGGCATAAAATAGTAACTGTCGTAAATTATTTAAATTTTTCTATTAGTTCAGGTTATACCTTATATGTTTATATAATTATATTTTTTATATTATATTATATTACACCTTATATTTATAATTATATTATATTTATACATTTATATAATTGTGAGTCTACTACTATTTTCAATTTATTGCAATTGTTAAAAGAGGAAAGTTTTAATCTAACTTACGCGTCCTATACAATTAATTTAGTCAATTTTGATAAATTCCATAAATGCACGAAGATCCGCGGTCTAGTAATTATATTAAATCCGTAACCGGGAAAAATAGATGAGAAAGAAAACATAAAAATCAATGTAAGATAAGAAAGGAAGAGAAAA